GGCTGCGCAGGTGCCCAAGCCAGCAGAACTCTGCTTCACGGAACCAAAGCTAAGGCAGCTGTGCAAGCTCAGTATCCCTTATCCAAAAGGGTTAGAACCAGCCCAGTTTTGATTTCAGTCTTGTGGGAGTTTTGGAGTATTTGCATATGCATAATGAGATTATCTGGGGGCAGGACTCAAATCCAAGCATGAAATTCTTTCATACATTTGCACCTTCTGGGCATCACCTGAAGGTAATTTTATATACTTCTGGTGCACCTGCATTTTGATTGCAACCAGCTGTCATGTGAAGTGAGGTACAATTCACTGGTGGCATCTGGTTGGTGCTCAAAAGTTCTGACTTGGGAGGATTTCAGACTTCCAGATTACATGTGTTTCACTTGTATATTACTATAATAAAATTACTTTTTTTTCAAAATCTTGAAAAGCTAAATAAGATTATATCAGAATCTACACAAAAGCTTTTAAAAAGCTGGAGGCTGAAAGAAAATAAGCTCTGGAGAAAGAAGAAGACATGGGAGTTGGCCTCATCCATCCGCACGATCCTTCTGTCCCGAGAGACTCTGTGAGGGTCTCATGATGGGGGGTGCCTGACTACCTAGCTCTGCTCTCTTGGGACAGTCTGCATTTCCAGGCTATGAGAACAAATTTCATGAGAGTCACAGGCACAGATCCTTCAACCTACCTAGGATAAAAACTGAAGCATTTTTTTTAACAATATATATTTCTAGCTAGGTATGGCAGTGCACCCCATAATCCCAGCACTCTGGAAGGTTGAAGCAGGAGTGCTGTAAATTTTAGCCCAACCTGGGCAATCTAGCAATTAGCAAGACCTTTTTTTTTTTTTTTTTTTTTTTTTTGGTGAGGGAGTAGTGTAGCTCAGTGCAAAAACCCTGGAATCAATCCCCAGCACATTAAAAAAAAAACAAAAAAAACACATAAATAACAAAAACCATTGTGTATTTCTAATAGGCTTCTCCAGGTGATTCTGCTGTGCACATGAGTTCCAGGATAAAACTGAAACTGCCTGCGATCTGCAGTCTGCCGGTACAACTCAGAACATCTTGAACCATTTCTGAGCAGCATCTGGCATTTGCTTTCCTCCTGCCTAGGACAGGAGCTGCTGCTTACTGTACCAGCCCCACTTCACCCAAACAGCATGCTCTCTGCGAGCCCCATGGCTCTCATGGGGCTAAGTCACAGGCCCTGGTTCCCAGTTTCCTATTAGCACTTGTCAAACTGTGCACACACTGATGGGAAGCCATCTGAATGATGCTCGAGATCAGCAGGAGAGTTTGGGTCCACAGTGTTCACCAGATACAGTGGAGGCCTGCAGTGGCAGGGGTGCTGTGCTGGGTTGGGACTTGCTGGAGTGACCATGCACCTATGGGGGCAAGTGGCTGGACTCTACGTGGACACCAGAGGACACCACTATCTCCACATGCCCAAAACAGCCTCTGGAGAGCACCAGATCATTTCATAACAGTAAGTCCCTCTTCCTAAGGTTTATACAAACATGAGAGCTAAACAGAGACTGGGAAAGCATGTATTGCACACACAAAGGCCATATGAGCCTCTGGTTTCCCACCTGGGGTTCACACAGTATTGGCAGGCAGCTCACTGAAAATGGAGGGCTCAACTGGAGCACAAGGAGAGGGAGTGCCCAGTCAGGAGCCCACAGTCGTGTGTGGCACTGAGGAAGGTGCCTGACCCGGGAGACTCCTAGAAGGAAAGAGCAACCACCCTAGGGACATCAGCCACAATTGGATGGGTAGAGGGCTGGCCAAATAGCTCAGCAGATTAAGTACCTGCAAGCAGGCACAGGGGCTGGGGTTCAATCCCTGGGCCTGCTGTGCTGGCCCTGCCCCCGGAGCACACTGAGACTGCAATTGAGACTGGGCGTGGCGGCACCCGCCTGAAATCCCAGCTCTTGGGAGACTGTAAACAGGCAGATCACTAGAGTCCCATCTAGTAGTGAGACTCTGAACACCCTGTGGACCCTTCCCTAAAATACAAAATCTGTGTAGGTTATGCAAAACACAAACAAGATTAAAACCCCCCCACAATCTGATGGGTAATAAGGTACCCTGCCTGGTGGGAGGACCTGCCGGTGCTGCTTTAATAAACCCCAGATGTGTTCTTTCCAGGCTGGACATCTCCCCCAGGGCTGGACTTCTGTGTGTGACCGTCAGTGTGTCACCACCATCCAGATGAAGCAGCATCTAAACTTCCCCCATGAGTGCTCTTGGCTTTCGAGCTGGGCCCCAGCTCAGCAGCTGGCATCAGGGTGCCATCAAAACCTTTCAAATGAAAGCTGCCGGCCTGACTGATACCTTGCTGCGCCTCACCTCCAGCAACATCTCCCCTGATCTATCACAAAGCCCTGTCGACTCCCTGGCACCTCTCTCCCACCTCCAAGCTGTCTCCATGACTTTGTCTTGATCTGTCAGGAGCTGGCTATCTCTCTCCAGGAAGATGACAGACAGGTCAATCACAAGCTCACGTCCTCTGTTACCCTTGGTCACACCTACAAGGCTTCTGCAGCCTCACCCAGTCGCCTGCGTTCCCCTGTCACCCCTCCTCTTTGCATCCAGCCACACTCCACTTGCACCTACTTCTCCAAACCCTGACTTTGCACTTCTTGTTTCTTGGCCTGAAGTGAACACCTCTTCCACCTGCATAGCTGACTCAAGTTCCTCATGCACACCCCTGGGAAAGTCACCCCAGAGAGGACTACGCTGGTCACCCTGAAAGTGGCTTTCTGCTTTTTTACTCTCAGCACCCTTCTGCTCACTTCCTGCAGCACTCCTGTCAGAACTTGGGTTTATTAGCCATTAGCAAATGCCCAGCAAAACACAAGGTCTAAGAGACAGGTCCTGTCTACCCCAATTTCTGCTACACAGCCAGAGTGTCTGGCACACCACGAGGTTAATACTAGAGGGAAAGAAAGAATAAGTGTAAGAGAAAAGCTGTAGAGCTCAGAAACTAACTCTATCCATCCCCAGTGCTCTACCTTCGGTTCAGTCTAGAAGACGAAGTCCAACTCTTGGTCAAAAATACATGTACAGCTGGGCATGTTGCTCAGGGATGGGGCACTTAGCTGGCACAAAGGTCTGGGTTTGACGCAAGTATTGAAAAAACCCAAAAAAACCGAATGGCATACGTGTATCACCACCACCATCACCACCACCTCTGGAGCCACTGTCACCACTGGACATGGCAACAAAGTTGAAAGACCAAGGATGGGATCTCAGCTCTAGTTGGGCTACTAACTACATCTTTTAGCAAAATGCAATGAGTTCCTATTAGACCTTATATACACAAAGAAAGGATTGAGTGCTTACCTTTAAATCAATATTCTAACCCTGCCTAGTTTATTATTCCCATCTCTAGCCAGTCCCCTTTTTCAATAAAGTCCTGTGTGTAGCTCCTATGTCCAGGCACACACACCCCTTCCTTGGGTCTGCACTGTCATCCACAAAGGAAGGGAGTGGCGTACCTGGCTCTACCCTCATAGTCAGCTCCACCACTTACTTTCTCCTTCTTCCTCTGACCCTCAAACCAAAGTCACACTCTAAAGCCATCCAGGGACACTCAAAGCTGAGGACGACATCCCAATATCCCTCTTTTAGGCCCAAGCTGACAGACACTGCAGAGGGGTAGATTTTCGCCCACTGAACACCTATGTTCTCTTTCTAGCTAAGATTCCATAATCTTTATTAAGCTGTAGGCATTTTACCTTCTGGCGTTCAGTAAAACCCAGGTGGCACAAATGTCTTTGAGCAAAGACAATGCAAAACAGAGTGCACTGAGCTAACTAAATCAACAATTTTATATTAATAGGCACACTTGCACTGCAAGCCACAGGATAGTGGCTACCCACAATCTCAGTGCTCGGGAGGCTGAGGCAGTAGGGCTGCTATCGGTTCAAGACTGGGCTGGACTATGCAGTGAGATACCATCTCAAAACACCAAAAAATTGATTAAATTAAATTCAGATACTTAATTTTGCAATTTTACCAGTAATCTCAATTTTAGAGTAATTGGAAACTAGTGTAATTTCACTGATAAAATATGAGTTTTGCTTCTCTTCTTTCAACACAACACTGCCACTTAAGAACAGAAAAGGAATACTTCCTTGGTTTAAAAAATACCGTTTTTGTTACTTTTAAACCCCACAGTTGAGTAACATTCTGTATTGTACTTGTGACTCATGCTCAAACAAAATGTCACCACACACCCACTCTTCTTAAGTAGTAAATAAAAAATATTAGAACAGAATCTTTGTTTCAAAGTTCTTTACAAATCACAGGAAATAATTCTTTTAAAAATAAAGGTTTTTTTCTTCAACATTTTGACATCTTAGCTTTACTTTTTTATGGTTTAGGACTCACTGAGGCTTAGGACGTATTAGCCAAAATTGCTTTTCTTCACAATGATAAAAAAGTCCATGATCCCTCCAAATAAACAAAAAAGCCAAAACCTTCCTGGAACTTTGTTCCAGAGACATGTTCCCTGTCTTGACTTGGTTGTGGGCAAAAGGTATAAACACAAATGGTACTCTCTGGATCTGTATTTTACTGGGTATTAAATACAGAGAGGTAAAAAGTTTTTAAGCCTTCCCACAAACTGCATTTCAACACCTAACACCTCACTAATCCACCTCAGGCCTGAGTTTTCCATGGGTTAACAAATTCCCAAAGCAGGCAAGGTGACATGCACCTGCAAACCCAGCACCTGAGAGACTCAGGAAAGAGGATCGCCTCAAGTTCGAGACTAGCCTGGATTACACAATGAGTTCACAGCCACCCTGATTGTACAGTGAGATGCTGCCTCAGGAAAAAAAACACTCTTCAAAAAGACCAAACAAACACACAAACAAGAAAACAGCCCACCCCAGAAGTTCCTAAAGCTAAAGGAACGCCCTGCCCCACCTCACTCCCAGAGACCCATCTTTCCAGGACTTCACGTTGGGGCTGCCCAGGTGACAGCCCACTCACCTCCACAGGCAGGGGCGGCATCTTCAGCTTGGTGAGCCGGGCCTCTGGAGGTGCTTTTGAGTCCCCCCTCTCAAAGCTCTGCAGCTTCAGCTCTGGAGACTCACTGGGGGCCTGATCCTGCCCATCCATGGGCCGCACATAGGCTGTGGGCTTCTGCTGTAAGGCCCCACTTTTAGAGGGCAGTGGGGGAGGTGGAAATGTCTGAGGAGGTGGTTGGGGACCGACCCCATGGCTGGTCACAGCTGTCATGCTGTCCGGGGCGACTTCCTTGTCATGGGCTTTCATCACCGGGTCCTTGGGAGACCTGGTTGGGCAGCAGCCTTTACCACTGCTGCCAGCGCCCTGTACCTTGCTGCCTCCCTGTGTCTTGGGGGGAGCCGGCTGGGAGGAATGTACAGGTGACAGGGGCAGCACTGGGGAGGGCAGAGAGGAGAGGAAGGGAGACAGGTCACTGGCTGGAGCAGCACCCGTCCCAGGGGCACCGGGGTCTCTGTCGGCTCTGCGGTCCCCCCTTTTGTGCTGACTGGAGGTGGAGCCCTCCTGCGCAAGGCGGTCCTGAGTCAGGTGCTGTGTGTCTGGTGGGCCGCAGCCCTTGGCACGGGAGCCTGGCATGGGGCCCTTTCTCGACTGCACCATCTTTGAGTGGTGGCTGCTGCTGTCCACAGGCAAAGGCCTGGGGAAAGTGTTGTGCAGGGGTGGGTGGTGGATTCCAGTCTGGAAGGGGCTGGATGGGATGCCACTCCCCCGCTCAGGAAGCAAAGGGTATCTTGGCTTCCCCAACCGATTGTCCGTAGCATCCGGGCACTGAGAACAGGAAGTAATGCTCAGGAATTCCTTCATTTCTTCATAGTTCCCCAGCATGTTCTGTAATCGGCTAGATAGTTCATCACCTTTTGCTGTCTGGGAAATTGAAAAGGCAACAGTCAGGCACTAAATAAAAACATCTACGGAGAGGAATCACTTAATGAGCTATTGTGCAATGCCACTAAGGAATGAAAGGCTCAATTCCATAGGTAACCTACAGAACCTAACTATAGAGTTTTAGCTCATTTCTCTATTGAGGAGCCTGTCACAGACACATGCTACTAATTATAAACTAATGTTACAAAAGAAAACCACCAACTTTAGTAATTATGACAATATTCAAAGAATTTTCAGATTTCAAAAGCACTCTTGAGGGTGAATTCTTTTCAGTTGTGACCCTCATTTGAACTCCTCGCATCCATCATTTTACCAAGGTTTGACACCGTCAAAAATCAGCAGGGCCGTCGAGTACACAGTACGCACCTTGTAGGGCTCTCCAAAGAGGGGCATCTCTTCAGGAAACTCCTCTTCCTCTTGGTGAGCTTCCTGGTTGCGTCTTTCCTTCTCTCTAACTCGAAGCAAGTTTCTGTCTTCATTGTACAAGCTGTTTCAGACGCCGCAAAAGAACAAAACAACACCATCTATCAGTGCCCAAAGTTTTGCTGAGCATGTGCACGTATGTAGTGGGAAGTGAAGGTAGCTATAGATGAAGCAATGGCACGAATGTTATATGAAGTCCTTCAGCCCAGCTGGGCACATCACTCACTGGCACAATGGTTGCCCAACACATGCAAGGCCCTGGGCCTGATCTGCAGGAATGTGTGTGTGTGTGCGTGCGACACACACACACACACACACACACACACACAGCAAAGAGACCAAGTTCACTGACTACTCCCAGACCAAGGGAGTAGACCAGGTTGGGACCAAATCCAAGATGAGCCACCTTTTATAGGTAGCATGGAACTGAGACAAAAGGAAAGACATTTTCAGACTGCAAAATATGGGGCAGACGTAGAAACACATTTCATCTGAAGGAGACGGCAGGATATAAAATTTAGAAAAGCTGTTTTCCTGGATCTGTATCATACATTTTGGAAGATTAGAATAAAAAAGCTTATTTCATAATTAAAAGATTACCAGGCACCCAAAACAGTACTTACTTTATTCCCAGCCTACTCTACCGGCAGTGCCTTGGCATGTAAATCCAAAAAGATGATTTTTCTCACTTCAAACATCGAGGATGAGAAGATCCAATTATAGATGTCAGCTCTACCTACTGAGAGTGTCTTACAATCTGACTGCCCTACTTATACTGCATAGAAATATCTCAGTTGTCAGTCCTGACACCAAGGCATTAAAGCTCATTCTGAGGAACAAGCTACAGAGATGGGGTCTGGACAAGGCAACTCCAGCTCTCGTGCATGTCAGCAGTCAGCTGCTTCCTGCAGACCCTCACAGGGGATGGCCAATGGTAAAGATACACGAACGATAAGAAGTCCTTGTCTTCCTCCACAGAGCCATTTCCAGGAACTCCACTGAAACCTCCTTTCAATGCTACTGGAACAAACAGGAAAACACTTCCCTGCTGTGGCTTCAGACACCATCACCAGCCTAGCCCTGGCACCAGAGGCCTGCTAGCACCCTCCTGGTTCTCACTCTAGTGTTTCTCTGACAAGAACCTGGGGCGCTCCCAGATCTCCCCAGACTTCTCCTTCTCCTTCAGACTTCCTGTGAAAAGCCGCCTCCCTGCTCAAGATCTCTCATCACCATCCACAGCTGAGTGAACCAGTATTTGTGGCTATAGCCTATGATGGAATATGCTTGAAATCTTTCCTTGGTAGTGAAATCCCCCAACCTGGCACGGATCTGCTCACACATGGCCTCTTGGGAGCCAGGGCAGGCCTGTCTCATACTTGCAACACAGGCTCAACTCCCCCTCAGGTCCCAGCACAAGAGGCCTGCAGGGGAGCCCCTTCCTCCCAGCCCTAACCAGGCTTCCAGCAAGAAAGGATAAGCAACTCTCCAGGCACAGCTGACCTGGGCGGCAGGAGGGCCCTGTGGGCACCTCCGTTCTGCTCACCCCAGGCAGGCAACTTCCCTCACTGTGCAGGGTTAGACTCTGGTGCCTTAGTTCCAATTACACAAATGCCTGCTGCCTCTCACACCACCTACTGCTGGGATTCAGCTACCAGCAGCTCTCAGGAGTCATTCAAATGACAGCCACTAAGGGCTTCCTCAGATCCACTTCGAAGCACGCGCCTCACACACCAGCCAATCATCTCTTTCTCCCTGTCCCCTAACGTGTGAATGCCATCAGCGTAGACCCTCCCTCTCACACTGAGCTCTGGCACTGCTATTGTGCATAGAAGCTGGTCTCTAGATATTTTTATTTTTCCTACATCTTTTAAATTAAACCACAGCCACAATGTTTGTAATATAGTTTTATAAACTTACTTGTAGTAGCTCTTATGTTACATTTGCCTTTGAAAGACATGTGTAAAAAGTAGCATTTGGGGCTGGTGAGATGGCTCAGTGGTCTAAAGCACCTACTTGGAACAAACTTCACAAAGCACAGGGACCACGGTTCGATCCCCCAGCACCACATGCCAGCCAGCCCTGCCCCCTGGTGGGCTGAGCTGGCCACACACACACACACACACACACACACACACAAATAAATAAATGTTTAAAAAAAAAAAAAGTAGCATTTGAAAAATTATAACCATTTTAGCTGCACACGGGCAAGCCTATAATCCCAGGATCCAAGAGGCTGAGGCAGGAGGACTGCCTCAAGAAGATCAGTCTAGAGTTCGAGACCAGCCTGGGCTACAAGAACAGCCTGAATTACAAAGTGAGACCCTGTCTCAAAAAAAAAAAAAAAAAAAAAAAAAAAAAATTATAACCATCTTTAAAATGATCTGCTTTTTCCACAGCTTTTCGGTCTAAAGGTAGGTGGGGCTCTGAGAGAGTCTCATGGAATTTTAGACAGCAAAGAGAATCTGTTTCAAGCACCTCTCAGACCACAGAGATCAGATTTATAACAAAGAGGTAACCATTTATATTAATGAATGTACTTATTTTTTTTTAATTTTGCTTTTTTTTTTTTTTTTTTTGAGACACTGTCTCGCTGTGTAGTTCAGGCTGCCCTTGGATTCACCATGTAGCCCAGACCAGCCTCAAACTTGTGGCGATCCTCCTGCCTCAGCTCTCTAAGGGCTGGGATTACAGGCTGCGCCACCACACTGTCAGTGGACAAAGTGAAACAGGAGAAGCTAGGGGGCTGGGGAGATGGCTCAGTAGGATAAGCGCTTGACTGGCAAACACAAGGATCTGAGTTCAATCCCTGGTTCCACGAAAGAGAAAAAAAAGAAACAGGAGAAGCTGAGCTACAGCCTGGCTGCAGTCAAACAGCAACCGCGTGCTACGTGCTGCTGATGGGCGCCTCGACTCAAGGTTGGCAGCTCAAGGTCGGCAGTGGCCCAGTGCAGATGGCCACTCGGGGGTTCTTTTCAGGTACTTACTGATTATGCTTATTCCTCTTACTGACTCAGAAGAGGCCACAAACCATTATTGCATGGAATCATAGAAGCCACTTCTGTGGACAGCTGGCCAGAAGATAACTTTTTAAGCTTCTTGGCTGCTTTTAATGCAGGCAGAGAGGGCGTGACTTGAGCTCAGGGCCGTGCACACCGTGAACACCTGGCTGGAGCAGAGAGGCCGGGTGCGCGGGCAGCGGGCTGGCTGCAGGCACCTGCTCAGGGAGCTCTTGCTTGGCCCTGTTGCTGCAGCCACAGAGTGGACCCCACTGCTGCCCTGTTCCCTGTGCCCACTGCCTCTGGCTCCGAGTTCTAAAGCAGAATTCTGGCTACTTCTCAACAATCCCTGGCTTTGTTCTTGAAAAGAAGACCAAACAGCAAAATTCTAGCGCAGCACCTAACATGGGGGTCGGGACATCTCAACTAACGCCCCCCTCAGGGCCCTTGCTTACCTCTGCCCTCAGTCCCATACTGCTTCCTCACACAGAGGTACACTGGTTGTGAATTACTGAAATATTTCTGAGTAGAACAGCTCAGCTCTGCAGCAGCCTCATCTCAGCCTCAGTTGGGTTTGCCAATGCGTCTGGATTTTTATTCCAAAATAATAAAAAATGATGTAGAAATACCACAGCAGGGGCCAAGTAAGCCCCATTCTTTTATAACATTCCAGAGTAGGCTGAAGCAGAAATATTCTGAGTAGGATACTCATCTGGGAGATATAGCAAGTTTAAGGCTAGTCTGGGCTACATGGCAAGATCCTGTGTCAAAACACACACACACCACACACACCCACACACACCCAACCACCACACACCACACGCACAAGAAAAAGTCCTAACAGCAACTTAGTACTATGTAATTCTAAAATCTAGGGACCACATACACACACACACACACACACACACACACACACACACACAAATCTACTCAATTAAGGAGTCCCATTAATTAAGGATTAACATGATTTGTTTAAAATATTAAAAACCCACACCAATATTCTACTGGCAGACATGTAATAATACTATGCTAACCTTCAGAAGAACTTCGACCTTTTTTAAAACATCCTTATTTTCCAACTGAAGAACTCCTAAGCGGCAAGGGGTGTATGAAGGTTGCTGCTAGGGTGGGTAAATGAGGCCTGGCCTTTGAGCATCCCGGTGCCCAGGAAGACAGACCCTCTGCCCGAGGGCTGGAAGCACGCAGGAAACCCTTGAGGCCTGACCTCATCTGCTTCCCTCTTCACTTGCTATAGGTCTGTAAAGGCTGGGGCAGTGACGACAACCTCCTAGAGCTTGCAGCGATACAAACAGCCTGCTGCAGCATGAGGACTGTAGGTTTGCCACCACTGGCTCAGAGAATCGTTTATTAGAAGTTCTGGGGCAAAAATTTTTCAGGAATATTTTCTTTTTCTCCGAGTTCATTTTGAAATTGGGGAAATGTAAATGAAACATAATCACACAGTTCATGCCACGGGTGACCCTTTTCAGCCTGCAGTGCACCACTGTTTTCAAACCAAGGTGCTAGCACCTAGGAGGTACATGCACACATTTTTAAGGAGGGATTTTTCAGGAAGCATCTGTTGTTCCACATGATTCACAAGCTCTGTAATTACCTCTGGGTAATAACAAGTTCCCTATCACTTTAATTAAGGGTGGTCTTTCTCTGCCCATGTGGAGAAGGGACATTTATACACACACACACACACACACACACACACACACACACACACACACAATGACCTCACCACAGGCTGAGCCTGGGCAGAGGTTCTCACAGAGTCACACAGACCAAGTTCCAAGTGCCACCAAGTTCTCCCAACTGGTCCCAGCCAAGGCCTGAGCAGCACTGTGTGTGAGGGAAGAGCTTTCAGACGCCACACAGCATCATGGTCACAAAAAGAGGACTCAAGAGACCCCAGTTTCCCTTTGTAGATCCGAGGCAGGGCCTGAGAGGTGCCTGGCAAACAAACTTTTGGGTTGTGGGGATAAGAGCAATACACTCCTTTGGGGGCTCAGTGTTAAGGACAGCAGCCGCCTCTTCCAGTGCTCCCAGGCGGCGCTGACTG